TTGATATAGAATCATTAATTACGTATACAAACCTTATAAAAAACGTATCATTTCCTTATTTCAATTTCTTATAGGGTTACTATGAGGAAAATATTTCTGCAAAGTAGGAATAATATATTTTTGAATAGTTTCAGCATGTGTTTTACCAGTAACTAAACCATTTAAAGGAACAATTGGTCTAAGTCTATTTCAAGAAAAACATTCTCAAAACATTTTGCTTAGACTGTGTTTTACAGTAACTGAAATGCAATCAGAATTCAATTTTTCTCCTAGTTTACGCTATACTTTTCCTTGACGTTCTTGTTGAAATTGTGTAAAAGTACTCTCATCTGAAAAAACACTTTTCTCTATTGTCTTGTTGTTTATTTTTCATATGCGCGAGCCCATTCAAGACGAATTTGACAATGTGCTTCTGTGGAATACGAGCATTAAGTCCAACTTTTTAAGGATACGACGTATAGTAAATGCAGAAATGGGGTTTTTTAAATGAGATGTCCAAACAGTTAAAAGTTTTTTTGCACAAAGCCGATGATTTTCACCATTTTCTTGAACAAAAGCTTTAAGCTCTTGTTGAGATGATGTATTAAGGAGCGGTGGGTGACCAGTTTGTTTTTTTTGGTGTGAAAGAATCAGTTTGATGAATAGCTGTTTTACTACACCCCAAATTTTTAGCATTAGTGCGACCTGATTGTCCACATTTTTACCATAAATAATAGCGCCACAGGTTTTTGAGGGAGTGCCTTCATAATTTCATAAAGCTTTAACTAAAAGCGAAATAGCTAAAAAAATTTATGTTCATGTTTATCATATAAATAAATAAAAACAGTTTTTTTTTCTGCGCACCTGCACAAAATGCAGGGGTGCATAAATTATATATAAAATTTTAAACTCTTATTACTTTTACGCATGATATAAAAAATTAATAAATTTATTAAAAATTATGGTAACGCGTATATTAACTTGTTTGTACCCACTTATAATTATATTAATTAATTATATTGTAAAGTACTAACATAAATAAATGTAATTTTTTCATAATAAAATT